TCATTATTCTTTGTCAAATATGGCTTGGTCTATTTGTGCATATATGTATGTCTATCAAATCTATTTCATTTCCATAGCTATCATGTTCCTTTTCTAATCCTTTTAAAGCATTAATTCCCATTTTGTTTTGCTCACTTTATCAACCATATTCTTAAGCCCACTTTCTTTTTCATTTTGAGTAGAGTTTGTTTAACTTTTTGTTGCCTCTAATGGCCCCGTAATTTCTGTGATGACAGTACTAGTATGTTTCTCCCCCACTCCATTCCTGAGCTCTTTCAGTTGTCTTGACATTTCTTCCTTGAGCTCTTCTTTTATATAAGTGATCTTTTTCATTAAGTTTTGTTGTTACTATTTGTCTATTCTCATTTGCTTGGCAGTTTCCTTGAGCTCTATGGCAACACAATCTTGTTATGTGATCTTTGTCTATTTGTTTTCTCTAATCATTACCCTCTTTTCTTGCAGTATCTTTGTAGAACTCTTCTGATGGTTTCTTTTTTATTCTGACTCATATTTGAGACAAGCTTGTTCTTAACCAGCTGTTTTGCAGAATGTTTATGGTGCTGGGGCCAGGCCATGATGCCATCCAGCAGAGAGTCTCTTTCATTTACAGGGTGCATCTTATGACACACACACATGTGTGTATATGTTGATTTAACCCTGACTTCTTCCCAGAAGAAAGAAGAGATTGGCAGTTGCGAGACTGATTAGTATTGAACCTATCTGCTCCAATCTGCCTCCCCATCAGACTGCTTCTTACAGAGATGGCTCTCCCCTGCTTCTAGACGGAGCCCACCAGGATCCAGGAATGCTCTCACAGTCAGTACATTCTCCATAGACAAGTTGTTTCCCCGAAGATGGTGTTGGATCTGCCCCCTTTGATTAGGTCTTCCCTGCCAGCCTTGTTTGAGGTCTTCAGCAGCAGACAATCTTTCAACATCTATCTGTCCCCGGTTGAAATGTCATTGCATTTGAAGCCCTTCCTCAACAAACATAAAATTTGCATTTCTGCTTGTCATTTTCCTTGTCATTTTGGAATGAATTCAGAAAGAAATGGGCAGGCCTGTCTTAACACTGCCATCTTAAAGGCAGAAGTCCCTTAAAAGGCTGCAAAGCCCTGTCTCCCTCCCTCTGAATCTCCTGTACCTAATACTATACCTGGGGAAAAGAAGATGCCCAATAAATACTTATTCAATGAAATGATGAGTAAAAGAATGAAAAATTCTCAAATGTAATAGCTGAGACATAACTACATTTAAGGCCTCTTTTCAAAAGAGCTTCAACAACTAATTCTCCTGGTTTTGCCTTGCAACAGCACAAGGTAGATTTCCCATGGTGATTTCTCATGGTTCAAAGATCTTCTGCTCACTTTTCTCCCATTTTCATTATATTTTCTTAGAATCCTGCTGTCACTCACTATCTGAGCCAAGTCAGAGCACCTGGTACATGTGAAACAGTGAATTCTATGAGAAAACTTTATATAGAGTTCTGTTTTTCTTTCTGGTCTGGTATTTGGCTTTAGTTTTTATGGATGCATTTTGAATTTGTTTCTCCTTGGCCTCCTTCTAAAATTGGAAAACTTCTGTATCTTCTTTACCATGAATCATCAGAAAGATAAAGGCAGAATGATTCCATTCTGCACCCTGTTTTGATAAGGAATGTAGATAATTGTTCGTATTTCCCTCAGCAACAGGCCCCCGGGTCCCACAAGGGTCAGGGCTCTGTCCAGATGCAGTGAGGAGGAAGGATCCTTTGAGAAGGGGAACAACAAAGATATAGACACTCATTTCAGTCCTTGTGAATTCCACAAGGGTCTTCACCATGGGTGTGACCCAAGAAAAGATCAGCTTGGCTCAGTCAGAACAGCTGTTGAGTCCAGGTTTCTTTCAGAGCTTTTGACTCAGGAATGTACTCCTAAGTCCCTTCAGTGAGAACAAGCAATATGTCACAGACTATTCCTTTGCCTCCCATATGGAACGTAATAGGCACTTGAGAAGTATTGTGTTAATTTCTTATTTTCCTTAGGTTAAAACCAAAAACTGTCCTACTCGCTCAAAACACTTCAGTGTCTAACCCCAGACAAGATTCCTCATTCCTTTTAGAGATCTTCAAGGATGGTTTTCTTTATTTTTTCCCTTTGTCTTGAGTCTCTCAAATTCCTCCAACTTGCTGTGTACCCTTCTCATTGCTATGTTGCACATGTCAACAAACATGAGGTCTACAGACAAGTCAGTGGCCCATGGAGTGCCCATGGTGGCCGGCAAGACTTAGAAGGTAGGACAGTAGGAAAGAGGGGGCATAAGAGAGGCAAACTACAGTCCATATTAGTATTCCTAACAAAATCACAATCACTATACATCTCTGCCCATAGCCAGGAGTATCAATGCTCTTTCATCTGAACATTCATTGATATTACCCTAAAGCCCATATCACCAAAACAGAACTCCCTTTTATGTGCCTGAAAATCTGTGTTCATTCCCACTCTAGCCCTATGTGGGTTTTTCATTGGGGACACCAAGCATCCTGGTCTGTCCAGAACACTCCCAGTTTGTCTGGTGTCCTGTCCAGTTAAGCATTTGTCCCTGTCAAAAGTGCTTTTTGTATGATAAATTATATGCTCTCTTTAGTTTAATTTAATGCATCATTTTCAAAAGGCAGCATGAGTCAGATTGCCTATGGTTATAAGAAATGTTCTTTTCTTCTTCCTACCTTTGTAGAAGAAGATTAGGACTCACCAAGACAATGAGACAGGCGGGGACCTGAAGTCCAGGCACACAAATGACCTCGGGGAGGTGATCAGGGAAAAGTTGACACCACCAGGGTGGCCAGACAGGCTCAGAAAAGTTTTACAAGAATCTTGAGAGAAAAATCTATCCCAAAGATTAGGGGGGAGGGGCAGGTCTCCATGCTCAAGGGAGATATTGTGGGATAACATAATCCCAAGGTCAGAAAGAAGAGCATTTTTTAAGGAGGAGCATTTTGCCCGGCCCTCTTTCCTCCTCCCTCTTTGCTCCTGAACATTTGGTCAGTGATTTCTCTCTATTTCATTTATGGCAATAACTTCAGGTCTTGTGGGTGGTCATAATGGTGATCTATGTATGCCATCTACAGTGGGCATGGATAATGAATCCTATTTTATTTCTTAATTAAGAAATTGAAAGTGCCGCAAATTACTGCAATTAACATGGATTTTCTTCCTCATTTATTTACTTATTTAAATGCCTGAAATTGCACCCTTAGCTTAAACCAACTGCAGGGTTCAGAGCCTGTTAAAATATATAGCATTCATTAAAATATTTATTCTTCTCCGACAGTGAACTTGCAATTTGGAAATGGTGGTGATATCTTTGTATGTGAAATCCTTCCCCCAAAATATAAATCTATTGAATTCAGACCACTCAGCTTGGTAATTTTAAGCGTTGAATTTATTGTCATCTTTGTGTGACTGAAATAAGCTAAGGTTTTCAAAAAGCTCTGTGTTATGTTGACCTTAACCAATATTGTTGTTTTCCTTGTAAGTCCTTGAGGATATGAACATCACCATGTTTTCAGAAGTTCAACGTTCACTGAAAGATAACAATTACAATATGAGGGTGGTTGAAGCCATCTAACTCTTTCAAAACAATAGTATTTTGAATAAACTATTTAGCTTCAAATTATCTAGTACTTTTGAAGATTCAACCTTGGTCTTCATTCTTAGGTTTTGGTGTTTGTATTTGGTTTTGTTTCTAACTGGTTTGCATGGAGACAGAGCTCAAGATACAGTGGTGGAAATTAACCAAAAATATGCTTCAGAAACACAAACCCTTTGGTGTGGGTCAGCAGCCATGGGAAACTACACCCAGCAAGGGTGTAAATGAGTATGGTTTTACCAGAAAGCAAGTGGGAAATGGCCTCTCAAAAACCTTAAAAGACGCAAACCCTTTGAAGTTCAGCTATTCCACTTCAAGGATTTAGAAAAGAATGAAGACTGTGTACCAAGAGTTAGCTAACAATGACATTCATGGCAGCCCTGTTTATAACAAATAAAATAGGTAAAATAAAATACCAAAATATGCAGCAATAAAAAGGATTGAGTAAATTATAGTACAACCTTACATTGGAATAATAAACAGCTATTAAAAACTAAGTGGTTTGTATTAGTTATTGATGGCTACATTACTCCAAAGCTTAGCACCTTAAAACAACAAACATATATCTTCTCACAGTTTCTGTGGGTCAGGAATCTATAAGCATGGCTGAGCTGGGTCCCATGACTCACAGCCTCTCAGAAGCTACAGTCAAGGTGTTTGAATCATCTCTAGGCTTAACTTGGAAAGGATCCACTTTCAGGCTCACTCAAGTGGTTGTTGGTAGGATTCAGTTCCTCTGGCCTGTTGGTCGAAGGTCTCTCTCAGTTTCTTGCCTCGGTTTCACTGCCCTATTTTCTAGAGAGCAGCTCATGATGTAGCAGTTGGCTTCATCACAGAAATCAGACCAGAGCTGACATCCCATCATTCTTGCCATGTCCTATTGGATGGGAATAAGTCAGAATTCTAGCTCACGCTCCAGGGAGTTGATTATACAATGTGAGGATATGAGAGGGCAGGGATCATTGGAGACATCTTAGAAATCATCTACCACAGAGCTGAAGTTTATTTATGACAAAAGAATTTCATAATGTCTTATTCAATGAAAGAAAAGCAGGTCACAAAGTAGTATGTGCAGCATGGTCCCAATTTTGTAAATTAAAAAAAATTAGGAAAACATATATCCATATATACATAAATATTCATGAAATAATCTGTAAGGGTACCATGGGTTAATGGTGGTTATGCCCGGGTAGTGGTATGACAGATAAGTTTTATGTCCTATTTCCTAAACTGTATTTTCTGGTGTTTTCTAAAACAAGCACATATTGTTTACAATTTTAAAAAGATTAAATGTTATTAAATTAAAAACAAAGCAATTAAATACTCTAGATTTCATGTTTCTGACTCCATCCACGTCTATCTTTACAGTACTACTTCTTGCTTACTACCTGAAGTCAACCAAATAGAAGTTCACAGGACCCTTCATAGAATCCATTGATCTTACCGTGACCAAGGACATTGTGAGTACATTCTAGAACTTATTGCTGTGTTTGTGTCTTCTAAAACAATTATTATCACCAAAAATGCTACCGTGGAAAAACAAATTATTTTTCCCTCTGAGGTCACTAGAACCACAACTATGATTGACATGAGAAAACTGAGTTCTCCCCTTGAGCCAGTGTCATCCCAACTCTATTCTGGTTGCTTCCAGGCCACAAGCTAGCATGACCACATGGCCACCTTCCCTGTAGAATTCCAAAAGGAGAGTTTCTATTTGTGTGTCAAAAATAGATGAACAGATCTGGCACTGCTGAACATATTTGTAAATTTGAAAAAGAAGAGGGGATGGGTAAGTGAGAAGATGAATTCATTTATAATTCCCACACTTCACTAGTTTTCTGTGAGATGCCACCAGGAGGGTCTGAGTTGGGATGCCACTGGTTCAGGGTGGGAATAACTTCTCTAGCAATGTAAATGGTATTTTAAGATTGCTTACTTATGAAACTACTGTTTTTCCAAACATAGATTTTTGGTTGTTTGACGAGTAGACAGCAGAGCCAAACACTGAGTGTTACAGAGGTGAAATTAAAGAAATTCATTTGCAGTGCCAAGCTTGAAGGATGGTAAGCTAGTGGTCAAAATCTGAACTCCTCAATGGTTTGTAATCAATGGTTTTAAAAGCAGAGCTTGAGGGCTAGGGTTTAAGGGTCAAGGGCAAAGCTAATTGGTTATCTCTTGTGTAAGCTTCAGTGGTTTCTTTGGTCTGATTAATTCAGTTCCTGATGTCATCTTGTCTGATGTTTTTGTCACTGTGGTCAGGTGATCTAACCAAGTTGAGGAACCAAGAGCCTGGAGAATATCTCATAATTGTGTGTCAGTGATGTTCTGCCTAAAGCAAAAGGCAGCAACTAAACATCTAGTGACCTTTGTTATTGTTTTAAGTTATCATTATTTTGTGCTTAACTAGCTATTTTTTTTTATTATAATTGCAAGCAAAGTGTACGTTAAAACATTTTTTCTGGGACTTGTTCACAGGCAGGCCTACGACTAACATACTTCTTAATCTTTGACTATAAGCTACCGGACAATCAAAGCAATTGAAACATTTAGTTAAAGCCTACACCTATATCTCTGGTCTCTTGATCTAATACCTAAACATGCTTACTGTTAGTTGCTGGTTTCACTAACAATAGAGCACATTTTCCTCATATGAGGCCCAAATGGGTGTTTGTCTAAGTAGTGATCAGCAATCCAGGTGCCTCCTATCTTGTGGCTTCACCGTCTTCTAAAGTCTCTGAGTTTTATGCCAGGTCTTCTGCATCCACTTGGTTTACAAGAAAGGAGTAAAGGTGCCACACCCACTTCCTATCACCTAGCTCTACAGCCAACACACATCACATTTCATTGGAGAGAACTAGTCACATGGGCCTCACCTTGATGAAAGAGGCCTTGGGTAGTCATTGGCTGGAAAGTAATTTCCCAACTGCTCCCCTCTGTGGCAGGGGAAAATACATCATGGGCTCTGTCAGGAAAAGTCATAGTGTTAGAAAGTTCTTGCTGAGAAAATTCTTAATGGGCATTCATACATTGATCACAGAGCAGGGATTGGTTGACTTATCAATTACTCTGAATAATGAATCTTTCTGCCCCACATGAAGGAATTTCTAATATCAATCTCTCAGGCCTACAGCAACAAGCCACTGATAATAGGGCTTTAAAGATTCAAGGTTGTTCTATGCTGAAAGTGCCAGGTGTGCCTGCCAATGCCGAAAATCCACCACTGCCACTGGAATCTCAAGATATCAGCCTTCAAACGTGTCTCTCTCTCTAAGCCTTAGTTTCTTGTTATACAAAATGACATGAATAGGACCTACCTCACAGGGTTGATTTGAAGCCCTAAATAAATAACCACAGTATGCATTCACTCAACACAGGAGAGACTTCTCCAGTAGGTATCCTCATATGATGAATAATCTCAGAAACAACTGCCTTACCAACACTATGACAATTGCTGGTTCTTGTAATATCATTTTTACTATTAAGCTACAATTATGATGATTAGCACTATCACAAATAATAAAAATCACTTCTCTACACTGATTTATATTTAACTATTTGACTCTCATCTCATGACACCATCATAAAGTGGAAAACAGACTCACTATTATACCCATTTCAAAGGTCAGAACTGAGCATCATGGAGGATCAGTGTTAATGACCAAGATCCCATTTTAGCTCAGTCAGAGTGGCCATTTGACTCTTAAACCCACGTCTTTTAAGTCAAGTTGATACTACTACACCAAATTTAAACTGAGACCTGGTGGGGAAAATTGAATCATTGAGGAGACGTAGTCTCAATCCCTCACTGTTCAGATGAACTAGAGATGCCTTTGAGGATTTTTCTTTTTTATACCACAGGTCTCAGATTGTCTTGTCTCCTTTAAGATTAGTCTAACTGCACCTCAGTAAGGGGGTGCGGGGAGGAAGGGCAAGTAGTGATGGTGTTGGTAATGTCATTTTACATAAGCCGTAAAATGTACAGGGCTTCAAGAAACATGAGTTTCTTGGGGCCCAAGAAGGAGGGAAAGTGGGCACTTTTTCTCTACTCTGGCATAATGGAGACATCACTGGTCAGCATCACCAACCTTAGGGAGGCAAGTGACAGACTGGAATCCACATCTAGCTTTCTTAGGTGTTTTGTGTTGTTTTTTTTTGTTTTACATTCAACTTGTTGGCCTTTCCCTGATAACTTTAATGACTAATTCTTTAGTGACTTTATTCTTTCTAGTGAGAGAGAAAATTTCTGGTAGCCTTAGGTTTGTAATATAAGGTCTTTAGAGACAATGTTTGACCCAGTGTTGGGTGATTCCAACTGCCAGTAGCAATTAGCTATAATAGACATGGGTCTTAATGTAGACAGCAGCCCTCAGGCCCAGACCTGCTGCTGACTGTTGTGTTATCATGAGGATCCTTTAGATTCTATAGGCCGATGCCCTCATCTGTCAAATCAGGTGGATGATGTGCACCCTAGTCACCTCCCCCACTCTCTTATGGAAATACTGGGTTCAAACAAGGAACTAAAAAGTGCTTGGAGAAGCATTGCATGCTAAATAAATGCAGCAAAGAGTCATCATTATCACTGTGCTATTGCCATTATTTTGTGGTCAGCTCAGCTTTTCTTAACACAGAGCAGTTAATGAAGTGGCAACTGTATTGGTTTCCCACTAGGAGGGAGAAGAGGCCAAATAAGGCTCTATTTTTTATCCCATTTTAGTTTCCAGTTGTGTTTTCTTTTTCACAACAGCTATGTCTCATCAGTTTATAAGTACTTTAATTACAGTGGCATTTCATTATACTTACCCCTAACAAAAAATAGGCTAAGTAAAAAAAAAAAAAAAAAATTAATCCTAAAAATGGTGGATTTCCCTAACGGCTGAGTTAACTTTCACCAGCAACCAAAACACTACTACCTTTTATCCCACCTCTACACTTGATACCTATAACTCTTAATGAATTATTTAACAAATTTAAACAATTGTAATTGTATCTGCAAGTCCACTAATAGAGAGAAAAATGACAAAATTCATTAGTCTTCAGGCTTTGGTTCATAAATTGTCCACCAGCTGAAATACATTTTTCCTGTGACCATGAGGAGTTATGGAAATAGGAAATTTAGAAATCAATATAGGCAGACTGGGAGAGCTATTTAAAGAGAAAGAATATGTCACCTCTAACCCTGGTACATGGCCATTCTGTTGCTCCCTGCAGCATCTCACATATGCTTGCCTCAGTATAGTCATTGAATACACAGGTGAACACCTGCCTCATTCAAAGGACAAGATAAATGTTGCAAAGTAGGGAAGTTGGAAGGGGTTTTGCAAACTTATGGCCCAAAGTAACCACTTTACAGATAAGAAAACTAAGGCTCACACAGGCAAATCCAAGGTCATACAAATGAGCACATATTAAGATGATACCTACGGGGTGTATATTAGTTTTATATTGTTGCTGTAACAAATTACCACAATTTTAGTGGCTTAAAGTAACAAAAATTTACTATCTTACAGTTCTGTAGGTCAGATGCCTTCTATGGCCTAAAACCAAAGAATTGTGTTGAACTCTTTTCTGGAGACTCAGGGAGAATCCATAGTTTAGCCCTTTCCAGCTTTTAGAAATGCCTGCATTCCTTAGCTTGTGGCCCCTTCCTCCGTCTTCAAAGCTAATAATGTTGCCTCTCTCTGATCTTTTTTTTTTTTTCTGAAGTCACATCTTTAACCACAGCCCTGACTAGGAATTTATCACCAGTAGGGGGCATTCAGGAGGCAGCCGATCAATGATTCTCTCAATGATGTTTCCATCTCTCTCCCTCTCCCTTCCTCTCTGAAATCAATTAAAATTATATATTTAAAAAACAATAAATGTCATTTGGCCTAAGCCCAAGTCTGATTTTGGCACAGGAGCAAAAGATGTTCCAGTCATCTGAATAGCAAGGATGAAAAAGATGCGGGGCATTGCCATATGTTCACTCCTAGGGAAATCCTGTCACAGAACATCAGGGCTGACCTTAATGTTCATTTCAATGGAAAGGTATCTGCAAGGAGGGTACAATGACTCATTTTTTTCACCTTTGAACTCTCCTTCCTCCTACCCTCCCAAAGGCTCTCTCTCTTGAGTCACTGCTGAGCCCAGCCTCGGTACTAGAATAGTTCTGATTGTCCAAACAGACATCAGGGACTCACAACCACCTTCATTTCTCCACATGTCCAGCTGCAAAGTCTAAAAGAAATGGTATTTAACAAAGGGACTTCTTATATCTCATAGAACACTGTGTAGACACTGTGCTGGGTCAGCCATGCTTGTAGAAAAAAATGAGTTTGATTCTCCTACATGCCTTGATTCAAGTGGTGAGAGCAAAGCACTTCAACACGGTAAATATCATTGCTTTCCCATAAGTCCTTTCAGCAAGAACATAATAATAACGCCTTCTG